GGATAGCTCCTTCCCCGGACTGGTCGCGTAGTTCCCGCGACGGCGGCTATCGGCTAGGCGATAATCAGGGCATTCGCGCACGCGTTTACCGATCTCAGACCGATCGCGAGAACTACGGGGGATGAGGCGATCAAGTGGGCGTAGTCAATAACAAGTCGGATGTAAAGGTAATTCAGATTTATTATGCAAAAGAAACTCCCAGGTCAACCCCAGTGATCTATCCGTCGCTATGGTCAGCCTGGTCTAGGTTACAGGGGGGACGCGAGTGGCGTACTACGACGCGAAGTCGATTAAGGCAGGCAATTGTCAACACAAGCGGTAAGTCGCGAATGCGTAGTTGTCGTATGCAAAATATTTATCTCGCGCTGGCTCGGAATTCACTCGAGTAAACACACGGAATTGGTCGATCGTACGAAGGTCGGCTACTCGACTGGCAATGTTAGCAATTTAGAACGATAATCCTACGGTGAAAACAAACTGATAGCGCGTACACAATACCGAAGGTCAAGCGCAGCTCACCTAATGTTCGTCCGGTTGTAACAAAGGGATTCGTCAACACGCACAAGATTTGTCGCACGCGCGAAGGTCATACGATACTTAATTACTTTATTCAACCGATCGTCGCACAAAGGAGTCCCTGTAACTGGCGCGCGCACGGGGAATTCGCGCCTGCGTGGCAACCAGAAACACTCCAAATCCAACTCATTTATCCAGGAAATTACATAAGCGGAAGTCGGCGGTCAACCGGCGTGCGCGCGGAGGATGCGAGAATACGTACACGCGCGGGAAGTTTGTCGGTCAAGCAACGCGCGATGTAGCAGATTAGGAACGGTGTCTGAGAGTTCTACTGCAAGGTGCGTGCTCGCGAAATCGTATCGGGCGCGCGAAGGTCATGCGACACTCGCGAGGACGCGGACGCTCGGCGATCGCGCGACTTGACGGAAAAACCCGCTTCCAATCAAGGATTTATTTAGGTTAAGCGAGGGTTTTGCAGCACGTAGATGCGCGCGCGAAAACTTGTCTTTCGATGACGGACAACATAACGGTGCGACAGCGGGGAATCACTCGAAAGGTCAACGGTGAAAATGTATAGGAGGATCACTCCGACGCGCGAAGGTCTAACGGCACTCCCGAGGATGAGGACGGGCAACACACGGTATACATAAAAGAAGGGTGTACTCACTCGGTCGTTTCCACAAAATAATTGTGACCTCGGCTGAGGGGATTGTCTGTGGTCGGCGGGCCTATTGCTGCCGCAATTCCTGTCTGTTTTCCTCTATTTCACTTATCTATTTCTGCACTGTTCTTTCTTTCTATTTATTTCTGCACTGTTCTTTCTTTCTATTTATTTCTGCACTGTTCTTTCTTTCTATTTATTTCTGCACTGTTCTTTTCTTCCTATTTCACTTATTTACTTCTGCACTGTTCTTTTCTTTCTATTTATTTCTATCTGCTTCCTATTTCCTTTATCTGCGTATGGGTGCCGCGCATCAGCGAGGCTCAACGGGTATGTCTCACCGTCGAGGCTTAACGGTCACTGGCGCGCCGTTTTTCGGCGACGCGCCGCTTCTCCTGGTTTACTTCCCCTTAGTTAGTGTTGATTGGCCGGCTTGTTGCTAAGCCGGGTCTCAGCGCCGTCTATTTTAATGTTTTTTGCCCGCGCAATTTGTTTATTGGTCGGTCCTTCGCGCCTAATTTGCCTACTGGTCGCGAAGATAGCGTCGGTTTTCACTCATTAGTCCGACCACCCCTAAGCTGATAACGATTGGCCGGTCAACTAGCGTCGCTTGTCTATCCTCTTCTATCCACCGCTCGTTGGTCTTACCGATTCCCCTCGCTCGCTTCCGATCGGTCTAGCATCGGCGGTCTCGCTCGCTCTCACGCGCTCGGTCGCTCCTACTTCTAGTCTAACTAGGTCTGCCTTAGCTAACGGGGGCTTGCGATCAGCTGATCGCGGCTGGAAACTTTAAGGGCTTCTAGCTCCCCGGGAGAGTGTCGGATCGGGTCGTGAGTGCGCGAGGGGTTGTGCGCGAGCGTAAGGGTCGTGCGAATCGGTCAGGGAGACTTCTAGAGGTCATAGTTCGAGAGATTCGGGAGTGCGTGGGCGGGTGTATGCGGTCGTGGCTGTTCTGCCGCATCGTGCTGGTAGTGTATAGTTTTTCGTGTGATGACGCATCATCACATTATTTTACATTTTTCATTTGTACAGTATCTTTTTTGTGCATCCGTTCGTATTACGTGGCCTTGTTTTCAGCCCTTCAAATACTCTTGGCAAATACTCAAAACGAAATCTTTTGTAGCTACTTTCGTTTTTCCATTACAGGAATTCACTGTGTTGAGTAAAATAACAGCATTTGTGATAGATGCTTGGATCAAGCGAATAAATACTACCTATGTCTATTTTTTTGATTTTATGAGAGATGCAAAATGATTACAAAATTGGTCGTGGGTATCAACGCCTCCCATATATTTGTTTTTCATCTTTTTTTTGTTTTTATTTTTTATCGTAACGTTGTACTGCAGGTAACGGTGTTATTTCTTCTGCAGAGGATGAAACGGAAACCGGCATCGAGTACATTAGTGCAATAAGATTTATTCCGCTATTTTTATCATTTTTAACCACAAATGTTCCTCTTGGAGCATTATTATTGATCTTATTTGATACTCAAATTCGTCTTTTCTAACAGTACTCTTAGCCTGTAATCCTATTCTTTTTAAATGAACTAATAAGTCCGGAGAAGTAAAATAGTTATCAAAATAAATATGATATTGTGCAAGTTTCTTTATTGAAACATTGTAAAGCAGATTTTGGAGCGAAGAATAAACAACCCGACTTCCTACAGAAACGTTGGGCAAAAGCGGATTGTCCGAGTTTTTCCACAATATAAATCGCAGAAGTACATGAAACCGTTAGCGCCACATAGAGACCACATTTTGAGTCCAAATCTTATTGGCTTAGTTCTTATAAATTGCTTCAAAAAAGATTTGCCATAAAATTTTAGCATCATTTCATCCACGGATAATACAGTTGAAAAAAATCCAAACTACATAATACTTTCATTGAAGATATCCAACAATTTTCATACTCGCCAGATCCTATCATTATTATGTTGATTTTCAGGTTTCCAAAATTTCAGATGAGCCTTTATGCTGTCAAATTCGTTTCTAGATATTACTGATGAAATTAGTTTACACTCTAGAAGCGGATTGGTTGATCAGTAGTCACGTTGAGAATGTCTTTGATTGAATATTGATATTATTATGACCCCTATAAATATTCTGAATTGATCGGACGAAAGGTTGAAATCGTGCGAGTTTGTAGCTGAGATAACTTTTCAATTCTAATGAAAAAAATTTTTCAAAGAGCTGTTAGTTAATTAGCTGTTTGAAAAAAATTTTTCAAAGAGCTGTTGTTAGAATAAGATGATATTTTACTTTTTTCACTGAGTAACAAGTCATTTATCAGATAATCTTCATATTCATATTCACCATCAATCTAGAAATATTTATGATCATCTTCTAATTTTTTTTGTGATTCGTTATAGGTTTCAAAAATTTTGCTGTATGATCTAACTAGAAAGAGTTCGAGCTCAGAATCTTCTTCATCATTATCGACTTCATTCTTAAAATGATCAGAATCTGATTCAATAGACTCTGAGTAACTAAAATCATCAGCAGCTGGAATATAAACCGTTTCCATTTCATTATCTTTTCGACAGCTTTCGATGGAACCTTTCTTTTTTTTTATTTTCCCTATCTGATAAATTATTACCACATTTTTTTCGGTATCTTTTGAATGTTCAAATATAAGTTGAAAAACTATTATTTCTATTGACAGAGGAAACAACACTTATATTTAAAATTATATGTATAAGATAGAGGTACGTATAAGGAATGCAAAGTGTCGGAACACTAAAAGACTATATTAAAAATTGATTTAAAACTCAATTAGAACGTATTTTTGGAGTATTTTGAAGCGTACGAATGATTTTTTTAATGCATTAGATATTACAGCCATCGAAGACATTAACTTACAAATGAGAATACGAAATATTACAATGTTGTCTTTTAGAATTTTTTCGTCAGAAACAAAGCACTTTACAGAAAAATAAACTAAGAACAAAAAATGCTTAGAATTAGCCGAGAAATACACATGAATATTTTTAAAGCGATTCAATGGATTTTTAAAATTTATCAAAAATTGACAATTTGCAAAATTAAAAAAGTTGCTCGTAACTTCTCAGAAAAATTCAGACATATTCTTTGACTAATTCTAAACACTTCTTTCCGAAAAATTTTTTTGTAAAGTGCTTCGTTTCTGAGAAATAAATTAATGAATTTTTTGACAAAAATTTTGCACTTTGGGCGCCAGTTTGAAATTTCTTGAAATTCTTTGAAAAGTCAAACTGACTTCGGTATCCTATATTTTTAAGACTCAGATATCGCATTCATGGTCGAGGTCAGTTCTAAGTTGATTCCAAACCGGTTACTCTTTAAAAACTCGATTTGAAATAAAAAATTATCTTCAAAATTCGAGATTTTTTTATTTCAAACAACAGTTTTCGATCGAAAACGAAATTTTCAATCGGAATGATACCATTGGAAAGAGCACACTTCAAGCTATAAGAATACATGTGTTGCAATTTTTTGAGGGCGGAAAGTATAAAACTTGTCCGGCTGGACGTTAATGGGTTAATACATTCTAAATTAAACGTGTATTTAAATTAGATTTGATGCTGATTATTTATTATAACAATATGTACGCAAATCATTATTTAAAATAAAAGAATTAGATAATAAAAATAATATTCTTTTGTATTTTATGAGACGAAAGTATAACACACTGAAATTAAATAAGAATCGTTGACAGTGACTTTTTTTTTGCAAATGTTCTTTCGTTAAGTAATTGTTATTTGAAATGATTGATAACGAAGCAATTTCACGCAGTTTCACAACTACTTATACAATAATTATAGTTTACAATTTGTATCATCTTACAGGTGACCAAACAGCAGATAAAATTGCGACGGAAATTTATTTGATTCATCTTATAGGATCCCTGACAGAAGAAGATAAAAAATTGCGGCAAAAAAGTCTATGCATCATATAAGAGGAGATCCTACAGCAGAAACAGCGAGAGAGAAGATAGAGACTTTTTCGAACTTGCGTCAAGCAATACGTGATGGAGAATGCCTGTCATCATATAATGTATCAATTTTGTCAAAAATGATCTGCACAAATTCAAAAAAGATACATGTATCCTCCCATAGATTTTGTAATGCAGTACCAAGCACTTCTGGAAGTACAAAAATACTCTGACTTCGCAACAAGCGGCCCGTTTCTACCAGAAAGAGTTCGCACCGTTACAATAAAATGTCAAGTTGATCCAAGCTTCCAAAAAGTTGCGAGAATGCACAGAAAAATTGAGAGTTGTCAGAAACCTCATACCAGTTGATACACAAAAACAAAAGTATAAGAGAAAAACCTCTGATATATGGTATGATACTGATGAATGGGAATGTTCAGATTTTGAGACTATGAAAATGTGAAAAGGGTGCCCTTCACACATTTTCATGTAGAGATGGAAGATAAAACTTCTGGTAACAAAAAACAAGTATGTATAAATTATTTCATATTTTGACAAATACGTATTTACTTATACGTATAGGTATAGTATATAAGCATTTCAATGTACAAACGTATGATCCTGTATGTTTGCAGAAGCGCATGTTTCATTTACACTTCGGGATTTCAATCCCTTACAAAGTATGGAAGAGAGCTTTGAAGAAAAACACTTGTTCAAAGATTCTTCGCGAAATTTCAACACCCCATTTATGGAAAGAAAAAGAATTTGCTAAAAAAATTGTTCAAATAGACAAAAGATTAAGTATAGATGACAGAGAGGTCTTTACACCGAAAAGATTTGAAACAGGCAAAAATATGGAATATTTTATTGACAAAAATAATTGAGTGAATTTTTTTATTTAATTGATTCGTAATTTACATTGACCTATGCTGTTTACCTTCAAGAGCGTGGACTAATTCCCAGCATTAGACCTTTCACAGGAAGAAAATAAAGGGATCGGTAATTATGATTTAGAAGATGAGCAGCAGTTTGAGTACGAGTAGCAGTTTAATTTTAAAAATTAATATTCTAAAGTAATATTTATTAGCTGCTTTATAATTTATTTCATTGTAGCCCATAACATATGATTGTAACCTTCGCAAAGCGAATTCTACAAGATATATTATTTCGAGTTCAATGTAATTTTTTAATTTCTGCAACGGTAGTCGATTCAATTAATCGAACCGTTCGCGATTCTGATTTTCGCGCGTTAGTTCTAAGTATCGAGAGAGAGAGGGGGTGCGCGATCTTTTAAATTAGCAGTTACGTCTCAGCTGTTACTTGTGTAGTACCGCCAAAATAGTTTAGCACAGTGTTCCAACGATTTGCCAATAAAAAAGTTTACTTGGATTTTGGATACGTGTGCAAGGGTGAACGAGGAAGCAGCAACAGTAGCAGCATCACGGAATCAGCAGCAAAAGCGACAGCAATTATATATCAGATTTGCAATCGAGGCAACACAGCTGATTCGGATCTGAGGAGCACCTTTAATTTGCTTCAACAATTACGGCTGATCACCGTAATTGCACCGCAGGGTAGGTGTACCTCCCTTAATTACCGCGTGACAAAATACATTTAGTATTTTGTTCAACCGTGTTAGCGTTGATATTTTTTGTATTCGCGCCGAGCGTTAGATCGCGCCAATTTTCGTATCTTCTCTCTCTCTCTTTCTCACCGAAAGTTATTTAATTGTAAATCCTATTCGCGTGCGTCAGTCTTTCGGCCCGACAAAGACTGTAGAGATTTTTATTAATAAAATCTATTAAACTTATTCGCCGATTTCGTCATATAACTTTTCCTAGTAGTTTAAACAATTAGGAAAAGCTTAGGTTTTAATCCTATTATAGATAGGGGATTAAGTGGATTAGGAGTAAAGTCGCTTACGCTTAAAACTCATCGTGTGTCACAAGGCACGTGACTTAAGGTGAGTTCAACTCTGCTTGATCGAAGACAACTAAGTTAAGTCAGCTGACGTTAAGGCGAATACACGTATTAACATACGTGTTAACGGAGCGGCGGTTTGCTCTGCATCGTGGGAGTTTGTTCGTAAATAAATTTCTCATTTTTGCAGCTACCCCCCGTTACATTTCGTAAAATTCATTTTAGACACGCAAAGCACAGTTTTAACTCATTTTCGATTTATAATATTCATTACATTCTTGAGTTGTTCAAAATTTTCTTTTGGAATATATATATATATAAGCTTTAGTGTATAAAGTTAATAAATGTGCATCCAAACAACTTCTTATACAATTGTCATTTTTCAAAAACCTTATTAATCTCAATAAATAATGTTATCTCATTTTGTAGCTATAAAAAACCTTGAAAATAGCGCTATTGATTAAAGTAGATGACGTTTTTTATTTTCCTTCGTGTAAAAGATCACCAAAAATAACCTCATTTATCTAAAAAAACGTCTTTAACTTTATCGAGATCCGAAATATGTCTACAAAATAAAGTTATTTATTTTTCATACTTAGGAAATTGCTTAAAAAGTAACGTTAGTGTAGATAATGACGTCATTTAATTTTTGTAAGGAGAATAAAATTTTATAAAAATAACTTAATTTTTGGTAATAACGTAATTTTTATTAGTAAAAATGACGTCATTAAAAAAAATTTTTTTTCAATAAAACTACAACCATTTTGAAAAACTTTTTTTTATCCCAATTTCAGACGTTGTCATCCAATTTTGATGATTTTCACGGCAAGTTTTACACGCTGCGGTAGCGATAGTCGAGTTATAAGGCGCGTGTGGGTACTTGCAGGAATCTAGGCGTCGAAGTCGGCAGTTATATAATAATACTTTTATTATAAAGTGACAGAGCTCCAGAGAGATGTCTTTACAAGGCGAGATCGTGTACAGGACTGCCTGCGCTTGTCTCTCGGGGGCTCACAAACTTAAGATAAGTCCCTACCACTTCCTTCAGGAATAAGTATATCCTGGGAACCGAGAGAGTCATATCGCTTAATTGTTTATTTAGGTTTTCAGCTGTCTATGTTCTATTTCATTTCTGGTCTATCATGTATTTACCGCGTATAGTTTGTTTGTTTCGGCCTTTCTTATGTCTTCTACTTCAGTCGGCCCGCGTGTGCAACGAATACGCGTGTATGACATATGTTCTTAGCTACAGGAGATAACTATATTATTTTATTATTAGTTCGCATGACAATCCCTTCCTTAAGCTGATTCTTGTCCTCAAGAATCTCACAATATGTTCGCAACCTGCGGTGGCACTTTGTGCAACATAAAAGAGTTACAGACAATATCATTATTAATCGGATCGACAACAGCTTTAACGTTAGAGCAACGAGTGTAGGTAACTATATCTGAAGTGGATGCACGATTATGACAACAACAATGTCCTGTAAGATGTCTGAAAATATATCGTAAAAATACAGCTGTGGCACTAAACAACCCTATCTTATAACTAATATAAATTGCTATAAGTGCGAGCGCAATGTATCCAGCGTAGTGCAGGTAATCTACGGCGGTAGCGATATAGGAGTGATGACGTTGTTCCCTTGATAATAATTCAAGCTCCTCCTCTATTTGTTTTAAATTTGACGCTTTTGTGTGTAAATTCTCTAAGTGATGCGTTTGTAAGGTTAATGTAGGAATCACGGATGAGGTATTTTGTGGAAGTGATGGAATGTCTATTTTTGGGTAGCTTTCAGTGTGAGTACGTACGTCATGTGTGATTTCGAGTCTGTAATCAACATTAGTAAGAAAACATCCGTCAGATAGTTGTACAACAGTTGGTTGCTCTATTTGTAAATCCTTTATATAAGAACGACAGAAGAGACTAAACTGCATCATAGCGGTAGATAGTATGTAAAAGCTGGTGTTGTTTAATCTTTGTATGAAGGGTTGCGATAATGCAAAGTACTTTGGCGGGCATTTCGTTACATCGTCAAAGAGAAGTCTTTCACAATTATCTAGTGACTGCAGGCGTTTTGGAAAGAACTGAATTGGGCATAGTCTTCCTTGATCATTGCGTGAGCATGTGTTAACGTCATCAATAGTCGTGTATTTAGTGTTATCCTTTGATACGAGTATGTATTGCTGTGTTACATCGAACAATCCAAGTACGTTTAAGCGACTTTCAAAAGGTAGTGCTCGTAACTTTAGAATTTCATAAGGATTTGCATGTGCAATGGGGTATTTAGTAACTATTGTAAGTCCTGCTTTGGATATGTATGATGAAAATATCATGGACTGTATAATAGAGAAATAATTATTTATGTGAGGTGGTAAAAGTATGTCGATATATACATTTTGTTCATATGCTTCACGTAGACCTTGTATGAGTGTTTCTGGTTTCATAAGTGCTGGTGATAATAAGCCGTTTCGAGCAATGTTTATAGCCGTAAATAACTCTGTAATATAATTATCGTATTCTTCAATCGCTACGTCGATTTCTTCAAGTGATAGATGTATCATTGTGTTTGCCTGATAGTCTGTAAATACAGATTTCATTTTCCTACTCCAATTTAACAATTCCTGCTGAATGTATGAAATTCTTTTGAAAATTCATTAAAAGTATCCTGCATAAATATTGTTTGATTTCTTACTGCTAGCAGGGCTTTCCCTGTATGGTTATATAGTTTGTCGATTTCTTGATTATAGTACTCTGCGTCATTTGCGTCCATTGTACCAAAAAGAAATTTGTTGACTGATCCGACAAAGTTAAATAAGCCTCTTTTTTTTCTGTTTTTGGCTTCTACAGGGTGTGGCTGAAAAAGCGATAACTTCTGCGTTAGACTGCGTAATCGGCGTTTCTGGTGTGCAATGAAATCTTTAGCTTGACACTTGTAGCCACTACACGTGGTAGTTATGAGATCTAAATGCTGTTCAATTTCTCTTCCGTTAAGTAGGAGTACAGTCAAGTTAATATGATTGACTATGGTCCAAGTATCTTCGTAAAGAAAAGCAGTGCCGAAATTCTGTCTCAGCAATGGTACAGATTGATGTGTTATACTGATTTTTCCTTGTACATTAATGAATATGTTGAGTAGCACTAAGAGTTCCCTCATCTGAAATAAAAACGTCAGGCAATGGCTTTAATTGATTGAAATGTCGTCTAACTAAAGCATTATTATATAATATCTGTGTGGTATTAGCATTTCGATTTATTGTAAGTATTGTTCCCGGCCCTTGATATTCGTTCCCTAACTTGAACATCACTTGTTGCTGTAATTCTGGTTTAAATTTTAATGCTTGTCGTGAGTCTACTAATTTTTTATTTCTCTGTTTATTTTTATCGATCGTTACTTTTGCGGTGATTTTATCTCGATTGGCTTTGTGGAATCTTCCTTCGATAATATCTCGTAACAGAGGACCGGTTATCATTTCACATGGTGCACGGGCATAAAAGA